GTCAAACAGCCGAGTTGACCTCTATTATTTAATTTTCAATTATTATTTAACCTCAACAATCAGCCATTGGTTTGTTTTAAAAATTACAGGTTCATGCAATTCCAACACGCTTTTTGTCTTTGTTTTCAAATTCTCCTCCCCGGTTCACATCCAAATAAATCCCACGTTATTGTTATTGTTACAAAAATTTTAATTTTAATTTTATTTTATTTAACAGTGACAATAATTTGACTATTGACTTATAAGAACAGGGTGAGAAATTTAAGGAAATTATATAAAAATACATGCGGTAAAATTTTGAGTAACTAATTAGCTTAGTTTGATGGCTTAAAAAGAATTATTATTATTATTATTAATTGTTGTTGTTGGGTTATGTTAGAGTAAAAAGAAAGGATTTTTATAGGAGAAATTTAGTTACTGCATCCAATCAGTGATTCAATCATTCATTATGATTGCCATGATATGCATGGTTTAATTTTATACCCACCACACACACACAATCATTCTTTTTTATGGTGGGTGTTGGTCTTTGCTTTTTAAGTCATTTTTAAGCAATATTCCATCTCTTTCGTAATTTATATACACATATTATTAATCCATTTTCTTATAGAGAATAATTTATATCTTCGTTGGCACACCTCCCGATGTTTGGCTCTAATATTATTTGTATCAGTCCAAGCTCACCGCTAGTAGATATTACTGTCAGCCTCACGGTTTTAAAATGCGTCTACTTGGTAGAGGTTTTCACACAATTATAAGGAGTGTTTCATTCCCCTCCCCAACCGATGTGGGATCTCACAAATTATATATTAACAATATAACATCGTGTTTTAAAATCGTTTTCTCAAATCTCTTAGCTCTCCGTTTCCTTTTTTTTTTTTTTTTTTTTTTTTTTTTTTTTTTTTTTTTTTTTTTTTTTTTTTTTTTTTTTTTTTTTTTTTTTTTTGGTTGAGACTTGTGTATACGTCAACACAATCGCTTTGTAAAATCTCAAAAAATGCGATTATGACGCCTGCATGTAAAATTTATTTATCTTAATCTTTAGTAAGAAAAGATTTAAATTCTACCCAAAAAAAATGAAACACTTTTTATATAAAAGACAAAACTACACCTCAAACAAGCAAATATCATTTTTAATTCGTAAATTATTGAACAATTCAAGGGCAATTTTGTAATAATTCAATGTTTTGGACTCATTACACGCATATATAAAATGAACATTAGTTTGTGAAAACCAACCACAAAACACAAACAGAACAGAGATATCTGTTTTGCGCCGCCATTGATGGACGTTGAGCAAGTTCTCGATCTCTTCGATTCATTGTGGTTCGAGCGTGAAATCTTCAACAAACACCCCTTTCCAACAAACCCCCAAAACCCACGACCCGAAAATCAAGATCGCGACCCATTAAAAAACTCGCCGCCAGAGGAACCTTTCGTCCCTCGGATTTGCCCGAGGTCCATAAGCGAAGATTTAAGCTCTAAATTAACCTTTATGTCAGATTCCAGTTCACCCGATTCAGTTCTCTTCTCTCCAAAGCTTCAAACGATTCTTTCGAGCAAAGAAATCGCCGGGGAAGAGCCGCCGGAGAAGAGCCGGAGAGTAGTAATTAGGCAGAAAAGAAAACAGAGGAGGAGAATTGGAGGGAGAAGCATAAGGGGGTCGGAAAGTAGAAGCCTCTCGGAGCTGGAATTTGAGGAGGTAAAAGGGTTTATGGATTTGGGATTCGTGTTCTCGGAAGGGGATAAAAGCTCTAGCTTGGCGTGGATAGTTCCGGGATTGAACAGGCTGGGGAAAAGGGATGAAGAAGAAGAAGAGTTGGGAGGGGGAATTTCGAGGCCTTATCTTTCGGAAGCTTGGGCGGCGATGGAGGAAGAGGAGGAATTGAAGAAGGCATTGGTGATGAAATGGAGGCTTCCTGCAAATGAGATTGATATGAAAGATAATCTCAAATGGTGGGCTCATGCTGTTGCTTCTACTGTTAGATGACACTGCTCTCATTCATAGTTCTTCTCCTCTTTCTATTTTTTTTTTTTGGGTGTTCTTAAAGTTTTGTTCTAATCTCTTAAGTTTTGGATTCCAAGCCAATTTGTATATATTTGTTGGAAATTATTACTCATTTTTCTTATTTTTTGAAGGGTTTTTTTTTCTACCTTACCGACTCAAAATCTAAAAATTTATAAACTCTAATAGAACGGATCCCACGTCATAGGGAGGAACAACACTGTGTGAAAATGTACCCAGAACAAGCTCAAAAAATACATTTGAAGTTGAAGCCAAACAAAAATTCAAAAAATACAATTTAATAACATGGATTTCAAATTTTCATTATAATTTTTGTGGTTAATTTTAACATTTTGGGATAATGTGGATTATATTAAAATATATTATAAAGAAGTGTACTTTGTTAAAGATTAGAGAAGGAAAAAAAAAAAAAAAAACTAAAAACATATATTTAATATAAAATAAATTATATGGACACATAATTTGACATGCACATAAAATATTATATAAAATATCTATTTAATCTCTAAAATTTTTTAAAATTAGAAGCTTTCAAAAATTTTAAAATTTATAAATTTAGTGTTGCATGAAAATTAAACATAAAATTCAAATTTATTATAAATAGATGGTAATTTTACAAATTGAATTTATTATGAATAAATTAAATAATTTTATAAATTTAAATATGTAAAGAAATAATTAAATAAACAAATTAAAAGTTAATTAATTTATTAAACATTTAAAAAAAATAGAAAATTAAAATCTTATTTGTAATTTTAATACAGATTTTTTAATTTTATTTCATTTTTTTAATTCAACCATTTATAAAGATAAAGATTGAATATGGACATTTATTTAAGAATAGTAATAGGCATCTTTGTACTAAATTATGCTAACTAATATATGAATTTTGGACCAAATCAAGCTTTGAAAAAATTAAGGAACAATTTGAGAAAGTCAAAGAAATGGGGATAAGTTTGCCACATCAGGTAGCTAGTTGAATAATTTGATCTAAGCTAAGACTTACTCTAATGGAGGATAATTTTTAAACAAATGAAATTTCCTTCTAAAAATAATAGAAATAATGTAAGGGTGTGACATGATCAACTTAGGTTATTTTATTTTCTTATTTTTCTATAATATTACGTAAATATTTGGAAGGTTGGATTGCCTTTCTACGTAAATATTGTTTTATTAGTAAATAAAATATGTGTTAGTAGCTTTAAATAATCTCCATAAAAATAATCCAACTTGTATATCTTAGAAAAAAAAATGATGAATAATTGTTTCAAGTGATGGTTATTATATGTTTAATATTCTTTTGCTATCGACTCTAATATATGTATTTAAAATTGAGGTCATAAGTTTTTTTTTTTTTTAACAATAATAATAAAATAAAAAAGACCTCATTTTTCTACTTTATTTTTTAATTTAGTGAACTACGAACGAGGATATATGTCTTAATCAATTATCGAAATTATAATTTAATTAAATAAAAAATAAAAAAAGAAATAAAAACAAAAACATATATACTGATTTTGAACATCTCACTTCCCAGCTGAAAAGTTGAGAAATTTCAAATTAAATATGGATTCTTGAGCATAAAGTTGAGGCCTTTTCATTTTTATTTTTATTTGTTAATTTTAATTTAGAAAAAAAAGGTTGGTGATGGTTTATTACTTTTATTTTTATAATAATTAATAATTAGTTTGTGATAGATTAACTTCAACTCCCACAAAAGCACGCTCTGCTTCGCGTTCTGAGGAAAGTGGGGCCCACGTTCCAAAGAAACATGTAATTATTGTCGTTTTGCATGTTTTATTTCGACCGTTTGAACGACTTTCCGTTTAGTTTGACGGTGTTACGAACGGTCGGTCAAAAAGTCCATGGTTTCTCACGGCACAGAATAACATATACTCACGAATTTACTATATTACCCTCAAAAGAATTAAGTTATTATCTCAGTAAACAGAATGGCAGTTTAGTCATTTAACTTCATCCATCTGGAACTTGGTTGTTAATAATCGTTTTGAAGCTTCATTGGAATTTTGGGCGTCTGAATACAATGGAAGACCAGCAGGTTCTACAGAATTTGGATTCTCTCTGGTTCTTCGCCACTGTATTCTCAAACAGAACGCCGCCGCCGGTCGTCCAAAAACCTACTCAACACGACTTCGTTGAGCCTCCGGGAGGAGAAATTGCGACACCCATTTTTCAAAATCAGCAAAATGTTGGGGAGGAGAGGAATATTGTAGACGAGAAGACGAATGAAACCGGCGGCGGGTTGGGGTTAATAATAACAGAGGAGAGGAGAAAAAGCAGAGGAAGAAGATGGGGGTGTTTGGGGCAGAGGAGAAAGATTGTCGGAGAGATGGATCTGAGTGATGCTGTGAAGGAGATTTGTGAATGTTGGTTGCTTGAACAGAGAATTGGCGGCGGGAATCAGTACCAGAGAGGGGGGAGGAAGATGAAGAAGAAGAAGATGCCTCCGTTTGAAGATAGTATGGCCATGAAAGAGCACATCAGATCCTGGGCTTATGCAGTGGCCTGTACCGTTAGATGATCCCATTTCGTCGTCCCATGTTTCTACCCAAATTTTGTAATGAAATTTCAATTTTGTTTAATAAGTATCTGGGAATTATTAGATGGACACAATGGTATGATATTGTCCACCTCGTACTTAATAAAGTATTATTGTTTTTGTCCACCTCGTACTTAATAAAGTATTATTGTTTATAAACCGAGGAACGTTAGCCATATCATCCATAAATATAATAAATCTTAAAATTAATTTCTACTTAATTTTCAATTTCAAAGCACAATTTGCAATTGCTTTTAACGTTGGGAGACAACAAGGATTTATTTGAAAAAATAATTATATATTTTATCAGTAAAATATTATTTTAAAAAAAGTTTTGAAAAATAATAATTTTTATATACTTAAAAATCTTGAAACATAAAGTTGAGTAAGTTTGGGCCGAAACTGAAGCAGCCCAGAGTCGGCCCAGAAGACCCAAGTTCACGATCATCGGCGACTTGTTGGCAATCGGTTGCAGCGGACCAATTCGTGAAGGTGAAGAGAGGCAACGATGACGGAGGCGCCGCCGAGACGACTGAGAGGCCACAAAGGCACTGCCACGTGCTGCATCGCCTCGAATGACCGTCCTGGCCTCGTCGCTACTTCAGGCGAGGTAGAGTAAGACTTACTTATGGCCTTCGCGTCATCTTTCCTTGTTTCTACTGTATTGAATTTCAGTAGGTTGCATAAGCTTCCTTGGTTCTGTTGGTGACATCTTATTTTTCTGGAGTGTGTAGGATGGTTGTGTTTGCTGGTTTGACATGAGATGCAAAGATGTGGTATCCATTATGGAAGTAGGAAAAGAACCTATTACATCCATATGTTTCAAGCAAGGTCCATTATTCTACCATTTATTCCTTTGTTTAAGTCTCAATGATCTGTAAGTCATAGCCACCGGCTTAAAATGTTTAGTGGTTTCTCAAGATTGAAATGATGTCATCCTATCCAACATAACTTCGAAATATTTTGTTTTTTTATATAGTTTTTTGCTGATCCATTCTACCCTTCTTATCAGGGAATGAAGATGTTATCTACATCTCCTCTGGGAAGGAAATTAAGTCATTTGATGTCCATCAGGTAAGCAAGTTTCATAATGTTAAAAACTTATTAAAAATATATTTGTATTTTAAAGGAAAGAACAACTCCTCCCAAGTTGCATATTACTTGCTGTCTATTTTGGACACGTTTTTGTGTCTTTCATATATGAAATTATATATCACTTCGATGCTGTCCCTTACACTTTTAATTTATCAATGGTTACTATACTGTCGACTAATTTTTTCCTTTACTTTTGGAGGCCACATCATCGAAACCATTGGAGAGTTATAGTTACAACAAAGAGGAGATAAATCAGGTAGAGGCGATCAGTAAGTTGTTTATATTTGCATGTTTAATGATGGAAATAAGTTCTTCCTTTGTCAAGTTCTTTACTTTAAGGTGTGGAGACTTGTTTCACAATCCAATATTTTTTCTGAATTAAAATAAATAAATAAATAAATAAAGGATCCGAAGCCAAGAGTCAAAATTTCTTCCCATGCAGGTTTCTTGTAGCCCAAAATCTTCTTTTCTGGCTGCTGCCGATGATGGCGGTGATGTTAAGGTCAGCATCTTTAGTTTACTGTGATTTCTTTTCTTGGGATTTGAATTCAAATGAGCACGCTGGTATATTTTTGTTCCTGATTTTAGTTCAGTTCAAGTAAATGATGGAACAGGTCTATGAGCTCTGGTAGTGGTAATATGTAATGAAATTTCTTTTATCGGAGTATAGCTTGTCATAAGAACCCGAAATTTCTGGCATCAGTTATCTACAGCATTTTTAAGCAGATGTTGCTTTCTTATGTCTGTTTGAGTGACAGTGAGCTTGGAAGTTTTGATCATATAATTTTTTTTTCTACAAAATCTGATCAACTCATTTGCAGGCAGTTCATTGAAGCTTTTATTTGGCCATTTTATCTTCCCTCGCATGATAATGAATGTTGATATATCATACATAGTAATAATTTTTCCATTTCTGACATAACGGATGTAGTAAGTTACAAATTGTTTTGTCCCATCTCATTCTTGTGTTCAAGCATGCACGAATTAACTCCTTTTAGTAATAAAAATGCAGAAGTAATGGTTTTACAATGTTGCTATTCCAAATTGTTAGATTAGATACTGATCATACTCTTTATGGCAGATCATTGATATTCACCAGAATTGCCTATACAAAACATTAAGATCTGGCCATACAAGTGTATCCTTTCTTGTATCTTGAAGCTTTTTTTTCTTTAATAAATCAGGGTTCTGTAATCCATTCTAGTCCCATGTGCTTTACAGTTTTTTAATTTTGTTATATGGATCTCATCCTTGCATCCTAAACCATATATTTAGATCTGTAGCAGTGTTCAGTTCCTTCCTTGGAGACCTTGGGAAGGTAAACTCAACGTTCTAACCTTCAGTGATCCAATCTGTGATCCAATCTGCATTGTTTAGAAGTAGCTAAACATATTGAATTATGAGTTATTAATACCCTTAATCTTTGTTCTGGATTTGGAGAGGTCCAAAGTAGAGAGCTTATTTATCAAGAGGCTTCATCTCATTGCAATTGAAAAAAAAAAAAAAAACTGAAAATATCCCAGTTTCAAGATTTCTGTCTAATACTTATGCTCGAGTCTAAATCTTCACTGAGATATACTATTCTTGTTGCATATTTCGTTGCTTATTGTGAAGAAAAAAACATCTTAAAATAGTTAATCTGGATTTGGAGTGATTGTTTGAGGTCAAGAGAAGACTTCTTATTCTTTCACATGAAAGATGTATTTCAATTTCCATGTATTACAATTTGTCCATCAACTTGAAGTTGGCTGTAGGATCTTAGATCCGGAGGTTTCAGAGTTTTCTAGGAATATGATAGACAAATGCTTAACAGAGTAAACCAAGTCTACAATTACCAGTTACCATTGGCCAGAAAGTTAGTATTTATTGTCTATGTTGTTTCCCATGCAAATGTATTTACAGTCCCTGGATGACCTCTAGACATTATTGAAGAGGGTACCAATTTGAGAGAATCAAACTCAAGTTCTATATATTGAGGATTTATGGACGTTGTTCTTGCGTTGACTATCGCTCTTAGAATTTTCTGAACAATAAGAAGTTATAAATGTTGGGGGATAACGTGTCACAAGTTTGAATTGATTTTTCCTGCGACTTCGGAGTCACCTACAACATTGGTTTCTTTGCTGCTTGTTATTCTCATACTGTATCGTCATTGTTTATGTTTCAAGTTGTACCATGTTTAAATAATTGAAAGCCTCACCATTCGTATCTGACTGCTTTTTTACAATTCCGGCATTATACAGTTATTACGGGAGGTCTTGATTCAAAGCTCATTATGTGGGACTTTTCAAGAGGACGTCCCATCAAAGTTCTTGATTTTGGTTCGTACTTATGCAGCCCATCTGTTTATGTGATTATTATTCCATGCTTTTCATTTTGTTTGCACTTGTGTGCCCGTTTTTCTTTTCGAGCATAGTTCATCTAATTTGTTCAACCCCACATCTTAAACAGTGACTTATCCAAAATAACGACTCCAAGACAGTTGTACGAACATTCCTTGCTAATTTTCTTTCATAAGTGTAGAGAGTCGGGGGCCTCATTTGCCTATTATTATATTCCTCAGAACTTGATTTTCATTTTCCTGTAAAGTGAATCATGCAAGTGTTTAGAATTCTAGCCTGAAAGCTTATTTCGCATGTGGAAGTGGAATTGGTTTATGGATAAATACAATATACTAGTCGTAGTTTTAATCCTGGAAGGTATTTGTATCTTGCCTGTACAAGTTTTCTTTGATCCTGCCGTGAAGTTAGGAGCAGAAGTTGGGCATAGGGCCCCTTGGGTTTTATGTAAATTCATAACAATGTCTACAAGAACTCAAACTTGGGTCGTAAGGAGTACGCCAATTTCTGTTCAGATAATGTAAAATACACACTCATATAAGACTTCACTGTTGCTAATATTTGCATTGTTTTTTCGTTTTCATCCTTCAACAGACATCCCTGACAACAACCCTTCCAGTAACACAGGGCAATGTTTTAATCCTGCATTTATTCATGCAATAGTAGTTCCTGAAGTTAATATGGTGGACAGATTGGGCCAGATATGTGTGGTTGCAAGGGGTGATGGTGTTGTTCATGTGATTGATATTGAATCCGAGAAATCAAAGATTTCCACAAAAACTAGTAAAAGAACACAAACTAGATCTAAGGGAGTTACAGCAGCTTGCGATGGGGATAACCAAGAGCAAAGTGGAAGAAAGAGGTTATATTTGGATTATACTGTTGGTGGACATTCTGCAGCTGTGTCCTGTGTGTAAGTAATTTCTTTCTCCTCCTCTGCAGCATGACGGATCTCCCTTACCAAGTGGAAAATTTCAGGGCATTTTCTCGATTTGGGGAGAAAGGGAAGTTCATAGTTTCTGGTGGGAATGATAAATGCGTAAAGCTATGGAATTGGTCTGGAGTTCCTGATGCTGGGGAAGCTGGCAGCAGCAACAACAACAAAATTCTTCATTTGAACATCGACCTGAACAAAAAGGTTGTTATTTATTGATAGTTGCATGTCACCATCGATATCGTTATTCATTACTTGTGCTTTTATGAATTAGTTTCTAAGTTTGGAATTTAACCTTCTGCAGGTGAATTGGCTATGTACTACTCCATCTGACACAGAAAACCTTGTGGTCTGTGATACCAGCAAGGTAGTGAAGGTATATAATGTTGCATAAGCCATCGGTGGTGCCTTCCCACAGAATCAGAGGTTAGAAAGAAATCCGAGGAATTATGAACCTGCTGCTGTTCTTATATTTAAAGCATCTGATTTTAGATCCTTTACAGACAATTTTGAGACCAAGAGTAAGCATTTGCTGAGAATTACTATGCTTCTATTCACCACAAAATTACACAACTTTGACACTAGATTTACTTGAAAAGGCTATTTGAAATATTCTTATTTTTATTTAAATATTTTTTGATTAAAAATCATGATAAAGCACCCGCAAAGCAACCTGGAACCTGCTCTGATCACTGTGCCATGGCTAAGCCAGCCAGAGTGGTCCGCGGCCGACCACTCATTCCAGTCACACAAAACGAAGAAACATTAGAGTGGAAGAAATGCCGCCATAAATCCATGAACACCATGCATTTCCATATCAAATGTGCAATTGTCTCAGCAGCTTTGTGACAGAAAAGACACCAGAAACTCGTAATAGCCCCCTTGTCATAGGTTTGTCCGACTGTTTAGAATTTATAGCTGCAAAACTTCATCTTACGAGGCAGACGGGCCTTCCAAAGACTATTGCATAACAAGAACACTAGGAGGACCTGATCATCTCCCCGCCCATCTCCATATTATCAGCACTCTTCTCGGAAAAGTTGCCCTTTGGATTCAACCCCCAACAGCTCTCATCTTTTCCATGGCTCATTCAACGGTATGGAGACAATCCTTGTCACCTTTTCGTCCAGGAAACCTCACGCACCTTTCAGCTTCAACTAGCCGAGAATATTCATTTTCGTGAATATTTATTCTGAATAGATGTGTGAACAAAGCAAGAACCCTTGTAAGGAATGTTTTGTTTTCTATCTCCAACCGACGTGGGATTTTACAATCCAACCCATTGGAGGCCAGCTTCCGATCTCACGTTCTATTTCTATTGGAAATCCATTGATGTATTTTGAAATAAAATAAATGGTTTAAATGGAAAGAATAATGTTTTTAATTTTTTATATAGTTAGAAAATAATATCTTTTAATTTTTACACTATTGCCAACAAATTTTCATTATTTATTATTGAAATCTACCAAAAGGGTAATTTGTTAAATCAGGATATTTCAGCTCGACTAAACAGACTTCATTGATCATTCGTATGAATTCAACGGTTAACCAATCCATCGACCAACAGTAGCCAAGTTTTGATTTTTCCCGCCAACAGTTTTCATTACAATGATCATTTCATGGGTCTTGTTCGAAAGAAGAAGATTCAAATTCCAGTAAGGAGTACACTTCAATTAGAAGATTCACAGACTCCCGGTTGTCTGTGTTTGTGGGGTTGCTTTCTGGTTTCTCATGTTGGGGTTTGGCGCACAATCGTCTGTTAGTAGTTCAAATCAAGGACATACTCTGCCCGACAAAATTGTTGCTTACACTTCCCGCAAAATTCAAATCTGTTTCTGCACACACTTTGCTTCTCATCTCTTCTTCCTCTCCGTGCAGATGGGTGAAACCAACTTTCCAACGACTACCCTCAATTCCTCCCCATTTCTAAAATGCTCTCACCCCTCCTCTCGCACAGATCGATACGACCCATCTGGGTTTTGCGTTTTCCATTTAAAATCCACCCACAAGCGCTGGGTTGAGAGACTTCGGGGCTAATCTTTGATTTAGGGTTGCAGAATCACGGGTGTCCGAAGAAAGGGCAATGATGGTTTCTGATGTTCCCATTTGCCACACTTGTGGTGAGCCAGTCGGTGTTGATGCCAATGGAGAGGCATTCGTCGCCTGCCATGAGTGCCATTTTCCTATTTGCAGAGTCTGCGTTCAGTATGATATTAAGGAAGGCAGAAATGTTTGCTTGCGTTGTGGGTCTCCATTTGACGGTATCTTCTGATTGCTAAACTATTCCTGTTGCTTTCATTACGAGGTCTTACGCTTTTACTGCTCAGGAACTTGAATTTCATTCAGTGGAGTTTCTATTCCAGTTTGTGTTAATTTGTGATTGACCATATATTGTTTGAGAGTTGTAATAGTCTTAGATACTCTCATGCAGGGAGTTATAACTATTATTAGTATGATCCCAGTTTGATTTGCTAATACTTTATGAATTGTTTAAACAAGCCTATGATTCGCACTGTTTGATATCAATAAATAAGCGGTTCTTGTCTTTCCAGTGGTTCTGAATTTGCTTGCATGTTTTGAATTTTCAGAGAACTTGCTGATGGATGCTGATACGAAGAGATCAGGAGATGAAAACACAACGGCATCTCATCTCAGTCATTCACAGGTGAAATTTATTACGTCAGTTTTGTATGCTTGTGACCCAGTTACAGGTGGTTAGTATTTAATCTCCTATATGTTCAACTCCTCACGAAGTTATTTCTCAACTTTTTCAATTTTTTTTGCTTAGGACGTTGGAGTTCACGCTAGACATATCAGCAGTGTGTCAACAGTGGATAGTGGTAATGAATATTGATTTCTTCAATCACGTTGGGAGCCTTTAATATAGTTCCTATTCTTAATAATATCTTCCTGTTTTTGTGAAGAATTGAATGATGAATCTGGGAACCCAATTTGGAAGAACAGAGTAGAGAGTTGGAAGGATAAGAAGAATAAAAAGAAAAGGCCTACCGTGAAGACTGAACAGGAAGCTCAAATTCCTCCCCAACAACAAATGGAAGAGAAACAGTAAGTACAACCAGGTTTTGGTTTTTTTAATCTGATTTTTGAATGCGTGATTGGAGCTAAAAGCTGGTTTCTGTGTGCTGATGTGCTTTTCTATTAAACTGCCTTCATATCTGCAAGTGGCTTGGATTTTTTGACATCGTATTTCTGAGGAGAATGTAAGCTGATGTTATAAATTTGTCAGAGAAAGGGCCAGAATAACGCTCTTCTGATGATATGATATTAAGTCATATCAACTTAACGAAAAATGTGATTTTTATTCTTCCAGGATTTCAGAGACGGCTGCGGTTACACACACATTTTCTTCAGTTTATCCAATTCCATCCAGTAGATTAACACCATACAGAATTGTGATAATCATGAGATTGATCATTCTAGCTCTTTTCTTCCAGTATCGAATAACAAATCCTGTTGATAGTGCTTTTGGTCTATGGCTTACTTCTATCATATGCGAAATCTGGTTTGCCTTCTCATGGGTGTTGGATCAGTTCCCTAAATGGTCTCCCGTGTGCAGAGACACATTCATTGACAGATTATCGGCCAGGTAGGAGCAAGACAGCAAAACTTATTAACGTATTTGTGAAGTAAATTGGGAGTGTTATTCTTATAATTACTATTTTGGGTTTTATAATTCGATACTGTCTTCTTTGAGCTTTCTCTCTTGGGCTTCCTCTCAAGGTCTTTAAAAGATGCCTGTTAGAGAGAGGTTTCCACACTCTTCTAAAGTAGAATGTTCCGTTCTCCTTCCCAACTGATGTGAGATCTCACAATCCACCCCCTTCAGGGCCCAACGTCCTTGCTTGCACACCGCCTCTTGTCCACCCCTCCGGGGCTTGGCCTCTTCATTGGCACATCGCCCGATGTCTAGCTCTGATACCATTTTTAATAGCCCAAGCCCACTGCCAGTAGATATTGTCCTCTTTGGGCTTTCCCTTTCTGGCTTCCACTCAAGATTTTTAAAACGGTCTTTATAAAGAATGTTTTGTTTTCCTCCCAAACGGACGTGGGATCTCATAGTGCCCCTTTCGTCACTCTAAAAAAACATGGTAATTGGGCTGTAGTAAAAGATTATTTGGGTACCATGTAGGCCAGGAAGAATGATAAAATGTCGGATAAAATATGGAATAACGAAAAAGGTGGTGGGTATGGGTGCTTCAATTTAATGCTCCTGATGTGGTATCGTTTGTGTTTATCTGTTTCGAGGTCAGGTTTGAAAGAGAGGGAGAACCTTCCCAGCTTGCTGCTGTGGATTTTTTTGTGAGTACCGTTGATCCATTGAAAGAACCTCCACTAATCACTGCCAATACCGTGCTTTCAATCCTTGCTGTGGACTATCCTGTCGATAAAGTTTCCTGCTATGTGTCTGACGATGGTGCAGCTATGCTCACATTTGAATCTCTTGTTGAGACAGCCGACTTTGCAAGAAAGTGGGTTCCATTCTGCAAGAAATTTTCCATTGAACCCCGAGCTCCTGAGTTTTACTTCTCACAGAAAATAGACTATTTGAAAGATAAAGTGCAACCTTCTTTTGTCAAGGAACGTAGAGCAATGAAAGTAAGAACCTCAAGCTTCCTCTTCACGTTGTGCTTCTTGTTCGATAGTCATTCTCATGAATTGTGAGATCTCACGTCGGTTGGAGAGGGGAACGAAGCATTCTTTATATGGGTGTGGAAACCTCTCTCTAGTAGACGTGTTTTAAAACCGTGAGGAAAAGCCCTTGTAGGAAAAATCTAAGAGGACAATATTTGCTAGCGGTGGGTTTGAGCTGTTACAAATGGTATCAGAGCCAAACACGAACTGGGGTGCCAGGGGGACCCTGGCCCCCACGGGAAGTGGATTGTGAGATCCCACATCAGTTGGAGTGGGGAACGAAACATTTCTTATATGAGTGTGAAAACCTCTCCCTAGTAAACGCATTTTAAAATCTTGAGGGGAAGTCCTTGAAGGGAATGCCTAAAAGAGACAACACCGGCTAGCGGTGGGTGGCTTGTATTTAAAATATATCATGTATTAAATGAATGGTCGGAAACAGTTATTTAACAATTAGTCTGCTGATTCGTGGCAGAGAGCTTATGAAGAGTTTAAAGTACGAGTCAATGCTTTGGTAGCAAAGGCTCAGAAAACGCCAGATGAAGGCTGGTTCATGCAAGATGGAACAGCTTGGCCTGGAAATAATCCACGTGACCACCCTGGAATGATTCAGGTTAAACACGACTCATTTGGTTGCGTTATTCTACTAACACAGAAGAATGTTCCACTTCTGTTTGACTGATTAATTTTCTAAGCCAAATTAATGCCAAATTATCTTGTGCATGAAATGTCCGACTCCCTGAATGCCCCTACCTCAATAGAAAGGGTTCATTTTGGATTGTATCAAAATGTTCAATCACTGAGGATGAATTGTTTCAGGTTTTTCTTGGCAATACTGGCGCCCATGACATAGAGGGTAATGAACTTCCTCGACTAGTCTATGTCTCCAGAGAGAAAAGGCCTGGTTACCAACATCACAAAAAAGCCGGCGCTGAAAATGCTCTGGTATTCAATTATCTATCATACTTGTATTTTTTTTGCAGGCACATCAAAGTTGTAAAAATATTTTTCCTTAAACAGGTAAGAGTATCTGCAGTCCTCACAAACGCCCCCTTCATTCTCAATCTTGACTGTGATCACTATGTTAACAATAGCCAAGCTATACGTGAGGCAATGTGTTTCTTAATGGACCCACAAGTAGGCCGAGATGTATGCTACGTTCAATTTCCTCAGAGGTTTGATGGCATTGATCGAAGTGATCGATATGCTAATCGCAACACAGTTTTCTTTGATGTGAGTTTAAATTAGTTTTATTTTCTAAGAGCATATATGATCACTCTCTTCTGAGTTCTTGATCCCTGCTTTAGTCAGTCTTGAGGCTCGCCTGTTCTGAGGATCTTCATTTTTGTTTCAGGTCAACATGAAAGGATTGGATGGCATCCAGGGACCAGTTTACGTGGGTACAGGTTGTGTTTTTAATAGACAGGCTCTTTATGGCTACGGACCTCCTACTATGCCTAGCTTATCTAAGACATCCTCATCATCCTGCTCTTGGTGTGGCTGCTGTGCGTGCTGTTGTCCTTCCAAGAAGATATCAAAAGACCCGACTGAGATTCAGAGAGATGTAAAAAGAGAAGAGCTTGATGCTGCAATCTTTAACCTCAGGGAAATAGATAGTAAGTCTAATCTTGGAGGAATACTGTTCTAGAAACTGAAGGCAGTAGTTCTCCGGCTTGTCATTAAATCTAGTTTTGGTTTTGTTCTACAGATTATGATGAGTACGAGAGGTCCATGCTAATTTCTCAATTGAGTTTTGAGAAAACTTTTGGCTTATCTTCTGTATTTATTGAGTCGACACTAATGGAAAATGGAGGAGTTGCAGAATCTGCAAATTCATCGATTTTGATCAAAGAAGCAATTCATGTCATTAGCTGTGGTTATGAAGAGAAGACTGCCTGGGGAAAAGAGGTATGTCTGAGATCCCACCTCGGTTATAAGGGTGTGGAAACCGTTCCCTAACAAATATTGTCCGCTTTGGACCGTTAAAAATGGTATTAGAGCCAGACACCGAGAAGTGTGCCAGCGAGGACGCTGGGCCTTCAAGGAGGGTGGATTGTGAGATCCCACGTCGGTTGGAGAAGAGAATGAAACATTCCTTATAAGGGTGTGGAAACCTCTTCCTAACAGATGTGTTTTAAAATTATGAGGCTGACGTTAATACGTAATGGGCCAAAGCAGACAATATCGGCTAGCGGTGGACTTGAGCTCTACCACTGTCTCTCTCTTTTACATGAATATGATCCGTAGTCAATACAACCATCATTGGGCTTATGGTTTTGCTTTTCAGATTGGTTGGATATATGGTTCAGTCACTGAGGATATCTTAACGGGTTTCAAGATGCATTGCCGAGGATGGAGGTCCATCTACTGCATGCCCTTGAGGCCAGCATTCAAAGGATCAGCACCCATTAACCTTTCTGATCGTCTGCACCAAGTTCTTCGATGGGCACTTGGATCTGTTGAGATTTTTCTCAGTAGACATTGTCCATTATGGTATGGATTTGCAGGCGGTCGGCTCAAATGGCTCCAAAGAATGGCATACATAAACACCATTGTCTATCCCTTCACCTCCCTCCCTCTCGTTGCGTACTGCTCATTGCCTGCAATCTGCCTGCTGACAGGAAAATTTATCATACCAACGGTAAGTATATCTACCCTCGCATTGTTGTTCTAACATATGCATGAAAATATTCAAATGTAATCCACCAAATGTATACTTTAAGAAGCATCTCCTTGCCATGTCTGTTCATAGTCTTTGGTAATGCCCAAATTGAATTGTGTTGCTCCTGCTGCACTTTTGGGACTGTATTATAGTGAAAATCCTTCTGTATGTCTTCTCCTCATTTTTTTGCTAAACATCATGCAGCTCTCAAACCTAGCAAGTACTCTTTTTCTGGGTCTCTTCTTGTCCATCATTCTCACAAGTGTTCTTGAGCTGCGTTGGAGTGGTGTTAGCATCGAAGATCTATGGCGTAATGAGCAATTCTGGGTCATCGGAGGCGTCTCGGCCCATCTCTTTGCTGTTTTCCAAGGATTCCTAAAGATGTTAGCTGGTGTGGACACCAACTTCACAGTTACTGCAAAGGCAGCTGACGACGCCGAGTTTGGAGAGCTATACATGGTGAAATGGACAACACTTTTGATCCCTCCTACAACTCTTATTGTTGTTAACATGGTCGGTGTCATTGCTGGATTTTCCGATGCACTAAATGGTGGATATGAAGCCTGGGGACCTCTTTTTGGCAAGGTATTCTTTGCCTTCTGGGTGATTTTTCATCTCTATCCATTCCTCAAAGGTCTCATGGGTCGCCAAAACCGGACTCCAACCATTGTTGTTCTGTGGTCTGTACTGTTGGCATCAGTTTTCTCACTTGTCTGGGTGAAGATAAACCCATTTGTGAACCAAATTGACAGCACAACCGTTGCACAAAGCTGCATTGCCATAGATTGTTGAGTAATATTGAAGAAATTTATCGAAACCCTTCAATTTCTTGTCAAAGACTCTGCTGTGATTGTCTATAGGATTCACAACCAGTTCCTTTATAGCATAGTTTGAGATGAAAACATCAGATTCATCTGGATATGTATGAATGTTTTGGTTCAACATTTGAGCTTCAGTTTGTACAATGTAATCATTAGTGTGAGAAACACCAATTTGAATACAATAGCCATCCATCTTCCACCCAATTTTGTTCTTGCTCGCTCAATTGTATTGTATTTACCGAGTCCACACGGGTAGTAGATATTGTCATTTTTAGGTTTTTCTTTTCGAACTTTCCCTCAAAGTTTTGAAATGCGTATGTTAGATAGAGATTTCCACACCCTTATAAAGAATGCTTTGTTACCATCTCCAATTGATGTGAGATCTCGTTGGCACTTGTTCCTCTCTCCAATCGATGTGGAATCTCACAATCTATCTTTCTTCGAGGCCCAGCATCCGGCATCTGACTTTGATACCATTTGTAACATCTCAAGCACCTTGAAAGAGGGTACATTGTGAGATCCCACATTGATTAGAGAGGAGAACGAATGTCAACGAGGACGATAGGCCCTGAAGGGGGTGGACTATGAAATCCCACGTTGGTTGGAGAGGAGAACGAAATATTTATATAAGGATGTGGAAACCTCTCCTAATAGACGTGTTTTACGACCTTTAGGAAAAACCCATAAAGAAAAGCGAGGAGCTTAAGCAGTTAGAATTATAATCTCAAGTTTGATTTGCTTGGTAACTATGATTGGGATGACTGGTATATTTTAATCATCAAACCAATCAAGATCTGATATGAACACGAAAGCTTCGATATGAAATTGGAAAACTTCTCATCATTTTTCCTTAGTCAGCAGCCAAAATTGTCAGCTGGGCATTATGTTAAAATAATGAAGAGCCAGGGTATTTTGGTAATCATGCCAACTGTCCCATTCCAACTCCCCAGCTTTGCTCATTAAATTACTCTCAGCTTCAGCTGGCGTCCTACAGCAAACACTCCCAACGTCTCTCTGACCAACGATGAAACAGCCACTGCAAAAGGCCGTGATTTTCTCGCTTCTCCTCTTAATCTCCACCGCCACCGCCACCGCCACCGCCGCTACTCCGGCACCTCCCATTGAAGATCCTCCTACTCCATCTCCGACCTCCGCCCCATCGGACGCACGGCCATTACTGCCACCGACATCGCCGTCGCCATCTTCTTCACCATCATCATCTTCATCTTCCAACTCTCTTGACCCGAAGCAACTTAGAGCTTTGCAATCGCTCAACATCCCCACCTTCAAGGACCCCTGCAAGCAACCCTCACTTCACAACGCCACCGTTTGCGATTCCTCCGCGCCGTTTCGGCACCTCGTGTTCCTCCGCCTGGCCAATTGCTCCGATGACGTCGCTTTGTCATTCACAGCTCTCAAATCCCTTTCAACTCTCAGATCTCTTGAATTTGTTGACTGCCCCATTTCCCCTATTCGCTTCCCTGCCGATCTGGTTGCCTCTCTCCGATCCTTCACTTGCACAAACAGCCTCCGTAAGCTCACCGGCGTCTGGCTTAGCCGTCTCGAGAACCTCACCGATCTCTCTGTTACCAATGTCCCTGTTAATGCCTCGGGTCCTTTCGTTATACTTGGCAACATGAATATCCTCAAGTCTGTGACTGTCTCCAATGCGAATCTTACGGGTTACTTTCCGAAGCATTTGAATCGCAACCTTACCCACATTGATTTTTCGGGTAATATGCTCAAGGGAAAGCTACCCACTTCGATTACTCTGCTGGAGAATCTAGAATCTTTGAATCTAGCTTCTAATGCGTTCAATGGCGAGATACCCACTTCAGTTGGGGACCTGATATCGCTTCGGAACTTGTCGTTGGCATCAAATTCACTTTCGGGATCGATCCCGGAATCAATTTCGGCAATTCCTGGATTGGTTCACCTCGATCTGAGCTCAAATCAGTTGAATGGAACAATTCCGGACTTCCTCTCGGAGATGAAGAGCTTAAAGTATCTGAATCTCGAGAACAACCAGTTTCATGGGGTAATGCCTTTCAATGGATCTTTCTTGAAAAGGCTGGAAATTTTTAGGATAAAGGGGAATAGCAACCTTTGCTACAACCATTCGATTCTATCATCCAAACTGAAGCTGGGGATAGCTCCTTGCGATAGACATGGGCTTCCATTGTCGCCACCGCCAGCTAAGGACGATTCGTCGGCTGATGAAAACAGCGACTACGATGACAGTGATGGAGATGATTCTAGCACCCACCACAAGGAGTCTCATAATGGCCCCAATAAAGTCGTGCTTGGAGTCGCAATTGGGCTGTCTTCCATAATTTTTCTCATCATTTTCCTGGTTTGTATGTCCAAGTGTTGTCGTTGAGAGTGAAGATCGATCGGCTTTACTTCTAGAGTAGAATTATTTGGTTCTTTCTTCTTCTTCTTCTGTTCTTGGTAGAATAATAGTAAAGAAACCATGATAGGCATAGGCATTGTAAATGTAGTGGCAGGACAATTTGGTTGGCGTTTGTTCTTTTTGGTGGATAGTTCCAATTATTATTTGAGTACGGCATGTTTTGATGTGTTCATTTTGAGTGTTATCAACATCGTTTCAAGCTTTTGCTTTTGTTTTTTCTATTATGACACGATTTGCTATTGTCTCAATAAAATCTCATTATGTTCAGTGTCTCAACTTTGTTACTCTCTCTGTCTCAAACTGGCTTCTTCCTTTTATTCACCAGTAACCTCTACAAGAACAATATCCATCCTTGAAATGATGAAAACGACTAGAATCTCTCAAAACGATCTCCCTCTTGGTGTCTTTTGACATGAACCTGGCCATCTCGTGACAGTCGCCGCAAACCCGGAGATTTTTCGTCACCCGAATAGTCTTGCCGGGCGGGAGATTCAGCATACCAAAAGCCATTGCTAACTTCTCACTATGTCCACAGAGGGCAACTTCCTTCTCCCTTTCATCTGCATTTAACAAAGCATACCTTGTTTTTGGAGAGTAACCTTCTTCCTTCATCTTGCTTCTTAGTCTTGTCAGAAGTAGCTCTATCTTCTTGGCTTGGGGTTTGGAGCAATCTCCAGCAACAAAGATGTTCACCTTGCCCTTGATCTCTATCCAACTGCAGCCTGGATTCTTCTTCAAACCGCGTTGTCCGATCCTCGTCCTTAACTTTTGAACTTCTTCCCACTTCTCTGCCTCTGCATAGATGTTAGCCAGAAGTACATAATAGCCTGTGTTTTCTGGTTCCAGTTCAAAGATTCGTTCTGCAACTTTTTCTGCTAGCTTGACATCATGGTGTATCCTGCATCCGCACAACAATGCACCCCAAATTGTGGCGTCTGGTTTGATCGGCATCGTTTTGATGAATTTATGTGCTCTCGCCAGATTCCCCGTTCGAGCAAGAAGATCCACCATACATGCATAGTGCTCCAGGTTGGGTTCAATCTGACATTCTTTCTTCATAATATTGAAAAAGTTCCATCCTTCATCAAGCAGTCCAGAATGGCTGCAGGCATAAAGGATTGAAATGAAGGATACTTCATCGGGCTCAATCCCAGCTATTCTCATCTGGTTGAAGGCACTGACAGCTTCACTACCATAGCCATGCATCCCATATCCAGCTATCATCACTGTCCATGAGACAAGGTCCTTGTTGAGAATCATATCGAAGAGCGACCGGGCAAGAACTAATAGCCCGCACTTGACATACATATCGACAAGTGCATTAGCAACAAATTTGTCCTTTGAGTATCCATTTCTTAATGCATATCCATGGATTTCTCTACCCTTATCCAACGCTGCAAGGCTTGCACAGGCTGGAAGGATGCATGCCACTGTCGTGCCATCGGGCTTCGATTCTCTTTGCATCTCTGCAAACAAGCTCAGAGCTTCATTCGGAAGACGATTCTTTGAGTAACCTCCGATCATAGTATTCCATGAAATAACATCCTTCCTTTTCATGTGAGAAAATACATCAGCTGCGTCCCTCATGCTGCCGCACTTGGCATACATGTCCATAAGAGCATTACTGACAAATGAGTTGGTTTCCAAGTTGTTTTCTCTGATGTAGTTGTGTAAACTCTTCCCACTGTTCAAGTTACCATTAGTAGCACAAGCATGAAGAATGCTTGCAACAGCATACACATCCGGGAGCACGCCTCTGCTTTTCATTTCGTTAAACAACTCGATCGCACCATCAGACAGACCTTCACGAACATAGCCTGCAATAATCGAAGTCCAAGATACAACAGTTTTCTCATCCATTCTCTCAAAAACTCGAATGGCACTGTTCAAATCACCACATTTTGAGTACATGTCCAGTAAAGTGTTATTGAACATAACATCTCTGTCAAGAGCAGCAGCAGCCTTTATTGAATAAGAATGGAGTGTCTTGCCCAACGAAAGAGTACCCATATTTGCACAAGCTACAAGAACATTGACCATTGTAGCCAAATCAACATCAACACTGAAAACTAACATCCTTAAGAAAATCTCAATTCCTCTGTCTTCTAAACCATTCTTAACATAGCCACTGATCATAGAGTTCCATGAAATGACATCTCGGTCACTCATTTCATCGAACAGCTTCCGTGCACTTCTAACCTTTCTACCCACGAAGTAGAAAGAAATTAGTGAATTAACGACTGCATTATAAGAAGTAAAACCCAACTTGCAGATCAACCCATGAACCTGCATACCCTCTTCCACACGTGCAACTGCTGCAAAACATTTCAGAACACTGGAAAATGTGTAAGAATTAGGGTTTATCCCCAATTCCAGCATTCGCTTGAACAAATTTATACTCTCTCCATAGTTACCACTTCCCGAATACTCACTGATCATAAGGTTCCAGAGGAAAACCTTCTTTTCAGAGAGTTTATCAAAAATCATCCTACCTTCTCTAAGATCCCCGCATTTCACATACATAAAAACTAGTTTCGCCCCTAAGATTCCATCTATTACAACTTCATTAGATTCAATTATTGAATGAACCCTTCTTCCATCTCGTATAGATTTTTGTTCAGCACATAGCTGCAAGATGACGCAATAAGTATCCAAATCAAGGTTGGAATTTTGGGAGCTGCAAAGAAGCTCTATCGCATTTTTTAGATCACCCACTTCACAAAACTTGACAATTTTGCGGGAATTATTCAGTTCAACATCGATGTAGTTTTTCGCTTCCAATGCTGTGGGGGTGTAGCTCTCTGTAGAAGCATGGGCCGAATTCGAGAAGGAAGATTGTGAATTGGGTTTGACAAAGGCTGAAGATTGCCGGAATTTCAAGTTCACTAAACCACGATGGTCGTACCCTGCCGAAGATAACCAGAAGGTTGGAGGGGCTTTTGCTACCAGTAAGAACATAGCTTTCGCGGAGAAGTCCCAGCAAGAAACAGCGAAAATGGTAACGAATCTCTTCTAATAAAGAAAGAAAATAGAGAGCAACAATAGGGCCAAATGAAAGGGAAGAATGAATGATGAGATGGACAAGTGGGAGCACAAGAGAGGCACGTGAAACAGCTGTAACACGAACATAGTTAGTAGATATTGTCAATTTGACATGTTACTTATAACCGTTAGCCTCACGATTTTAAAACGTATCTTTTAGGGAGATGTTTCTACACTATTGGAAAGAATATTTTGTTCTCTCTTCAACTCATGTGGGATCTCACAATCTATCCTTTGGAGGCCTAACGTCTTCACTAGCTCGTCCGATACGTTGAGGGCCCAGTTCTTCTTCCCCTTGAAGCTCCCGCTTTGATATCAAAAACCCGTCTTGAATTTTGCAAATCCATTTTGAAAACACAGCGAATAGCTCAAACCTATCCATGGCCACTGCTGAAAAATCACCACAGACCAGGTAGCTCTTCTTGCTCTCAAAGCCCACATCACAAGCGACCCCAATGGCATAATTACAAACAATAGGTCTGAAACTACCTCAGCCTGTAACTGGGTTGGCATAATTTGTAGTATAAAGCACAGCCGAGTGACAAGCTTAAAATTTTCTTACATGGGTTGGCATATATGGCTCCAGGTGACGGACACTCTTCATTATACTCAGTCTTGTTTCTTAAATCAAGTTTCCTTTGCAATGCAGTGTTGGGGTTGGATGGGATTGTTTCCAGAAGAGGTAAAGCATTCTGTTAATGGAAACATTGACAAGGTAGAAAGAAGGCTAGAGATGAAATGATTTGTACTACTAGAGAAATGAGGGTACCCAAATCATATCCTCACTAAATGACCGATGTTGCAGATTCAATCACCAATCTTTGAGCTATTCAGAGTGAATGTCTATCATCCATTGTATTGCTGGCCTTGTCGTTGTCGTGGACAGTGTGATCATCAGAGAAGAGGCCGAGTATCAAACATGTTCTTGGCCCTCTCAACAAAATCATGACGAGAATTGGGCAGTCCCAAGTCCATAAATCATGAATGTATGAATAAAAGAGAGTTTGGTTTGAAATGCCCTTTTGAAATAGTGCTTTAAATAAGACTGTTTGCTCATTTGATGGAAAAATCACAAATTTAATACCACATACACTTCAAAATTTAAGGACCACATATGATTAAACTCGTAATTTAACTAAAGTATAATTTTCATTAAATTAAAACTTTAATCCCTGATTCTTGCCATTTCATTTCGTTCTTCAGATTGGGTTTGGATCCTCCTCTTCTTTAATCTATATCCGCCACCAGCGTGGATCTCTGATTCATTTTGGGGTTGGCGTATAAGAATCATTTAGGCCATGCGATTGGAAAATTTCATCATACGATCACATATAGAAGGACAAATCTTCCAAAAAAGTCAAGGTAGTTGTACCAACGGTTCTGTGAAATTTTTGGGCGATAAGATTTACTGGACCCGCCAATTCCAACATTCACCCTCTTCTTCTTCTTCTTCCTCGTCCTCCCAAGTTCAGCTAAGGCTCTATTGTTCAATAATGTGAGAACCCAGAAAGGGAGTAGCTCTGAAGCAGACGTTTAGCCCTGGTTGGTAGCCTGTAACTGTTCGCAAGTATTTCTTGGTGTTCAAGGTTAGTCTGAAAGTGTTATTCGGCCTTTAATATTTTGCTTTTATTGCACTCATCTATTCTCACCGGACTTTTCAGCTTTCCTTTCCTTTTGTTCCTAACGTGTATGCATACCTTCTTGTTTAACAATTTTCTTTGTTTACCAAACTTGCATTTTTGTTAGATCACTTCTGTCTTTGTGTTGGTGGGTTGTTTTCTGAGAAAGACAGACAGAGAGAATCTGTAAGAAAAAGAAAATGTGAATGCAGGCCTTCATAGTTTATGGTTACATGTTTTTTTGTTATATGGTTCCTTAAAACACCAAAGTTTCTGTATAGTGCAAGGAAGGACAGATGTTTGAGGTTGTTTGAGAGATAAAAATGGGGAAGCAAGGGGTCTCCAGAAGCTTGCGCCCTGAGTCTCAGAGTGATGGAATGTCATTAGGAATGAAAGATTATCAGATTAGATGTTGTTCAGAAAACTTTTGTGGGAATAATCCTTCTATTGGGAGGAGGCTTTCAGGAGATGATGTGAACTCAGGTTTGAAAACCGTATCAGTTCATGGATTGAAACATGATGTTTCCAAAATTAGTGCTTCTAAGGGATCCTATGGGAGTAAAAGAAATGTTTGGCTTCAAAAGCATGTGAGGTCAATTTTGTTTATGATT